AAAGCTGTCACACAAAATTTCGCAGGCTTGGGAATCATCTGAGACGACGAAGTTCCTCCGCACCTGCTCTAAGAGTTCATCCAAGTCACCCATAAAAATATTTTCGATGGGTCATGTCTACGAATTTGTAAAGTGCGTTTCATATTTAGGTTACTTAAACAATCTCTCAAATGTTTGCAGTACATTAAAATTGATCCGCAATTTGCGTTCAAAATTACTGCTTCCTGAACAATGCGGCGTCTTTTTTCGCATGAACTATTCAAATATTAACGTTTCTTTGAAATCTGAACTAGATGTTTTAAGGTGGGCCAGTAATGAAAATCCTCATTTTACCGTAACAGAGCACCCAGGACGGAGTTTGTTGTAACGAGCGAATGGCATACAGTAGCGAAGTTGAGTAAGGATAGTAGAATTATGGGAGAGTGATTTCGAGGACAGTACATTACGTGGAGTACAACTCGTAGTATTCTTTTCCGTCAGATTTGAATAATTGCGTTTTAATCTCGGTTGAATATACTTGGTTCTAATCCATATCTACGTATTCTGTACGTCACTGTGTATGTTTTAAGATGCAGCTCTTAGTTGCTGAAGATATAAAGGTTTCCTCTTTTGAAGCCACAAAGGACTACCAGGGTGGTCCTGTTACAGAAAGAAAGGCGTCCAGACCCTGCAACTTCAGAGCCCTAGACGATTGGACGTTACAGTAAAAAATATGCGGATAGAGATAAGCTCAAAAAGCTCTGCAAAGTGTCCGATTCTGCACAAGCCTGTGGTATTTGCACATTTCCCAGTTATATCGCCCCTTTTCGCTATTCATCTGAGCTCATCTGAATTCATATTTGATTGCGTAAAAATACACACAAATAACCACTTTGTCCTTGCGCCAAGAAATTTTCTAATTTTGCTACCACCTATGGTCCATATTTCGCAAAGGCATTCTTTTGATTCCCGCTTGGTCAGCCTATAATACAAATCAGGTTTTTCCGCAGGCTCACTTTTTCAAACTTAAATTCATCGTTAAAACGAACATTTGGCAAGTAGTAGCTCAAAGCTGTGTGAGGGGTCTTTGCTACTTAGAGTGACTAGGTGCATGATAGGGCCTTTATTTTAGGGTTTTCATTACGTATATCCCCATTATCATGTCCATGCCTTTTCTTTGCATTCTTCGTAGGTTAAACTAACACCCCACATAGGGACAAGTTAGTCTGTCATGAGTACTTTTACGCTTTCGGTTGTTGAACTCATTACACGACTGGTGACACTGCAGTTGGTATCGGCCATTTTCGTACGCTAAGCTTTATTGAACCACCTTTTGGGGTTAAGTTGGCTAGTCAAATCCGTGACCCTAATCGGAGGTTTGACCGTCTAGCGCGCACGGACTGGTAGGCACGACAGCTAGACACTCGGGTCATGCCCCACAGGCATGTGAGCAAAGCATGGCTTAGAATAAAGAGGTCGCTACAAACTCTTGGCCCTGAAACGCTTATACCAATAGTAAAAAATCTAAAAAATATTTTCTATTCTGCTGGCACACCGGCCTTCAATCAGTCAGTATATTTGAGGGAAAAATAGGCTTGCACCTTTGAACTCCCTATT